TTGGGTGCGAGGATAAGTAGTGCTGCGACCGGCCCAGAATCTTCCGGACTACCCCGGCACCCCTGGCTCCGCCACGCCGGGCCTTGACCTTGGGCCGCAGGTCAAGGACGTCGGGGTTCAGGTTGTTGCGGGAAGTACAAGTTGTTTTGCTTGTGACTCTAATCTGCTGCTGCCACAATTACGGATCACTATGGATATTGCGCACTAGCTTTTGTGTGCGTCTGTGTGTGCGTGTGTGTGTGTGTGTGTCTGTGTGTGTGCGCGTGTGTGTGTGTGTGTGCACACCTCTGCCTCAAAGGGCTAAGCAACAAGGAGTTGCAGGGGGCTGGAGTGCATCACAGAAGCCTCCAGTCAACGACTCCAGTTACTAGTACCAGTTGATGACCACATCTTGAAAGTGCATGAGTGTGGAACTGCACGTTAATGATCTAACCGCTCAGTTGCGTGTTTGTGATGCAGTTGAGCCTTGAAGTCCCTCTAAGGGGATGTAAGATAGGTAGAGAAACAGACCATCGACAGTGCAGGATACAAGAACAGAGCAATAGAGCCACATCACCGACGACAGTTCAGATCAAGAGATCTGATGCACGTGTGTGTGTGTGGCCGTGCGTGTGAGGTGTGCCTGGGAGAGAGAAAACATGTGAACTGTTTATACATGCGTATTTCTCCCGATGACGAAAGATTCCTCGCCATGTTGCCGGTGATGGTGAGTGTCAGGGTGAGGTCGTTGACTCGGACGGTGGTGATGGTGCTGCTGATGAGATTCTTCCGATGTCGGCATAGATGATGCTGATCACAATGGTGAGGACTGATGATGACGAGGATTATGTTGCGGCACCACCACCATCGCCACCATCATCACCGCCACCACCAGAACTGAGTGTCGGAGTTCGCGCACTGTTTGTCCGACAGCTGAAGGAAGTGTTTCGGTTCTCTGCGTTGGAAGACGTATGTGAGAAAGCAGTTTCTGAAGCTTTGGTGAACTGTGCAGTATTTGCGGCAGAACAGCGTGCTTTACTTGAGGGTAACACCACCAACACCACCACCACCACCACCACCACCACCACCACCACCACCACCACCACCACCACCACCACCACCACCACCCCCCCCACCACCACCACCACCACCACCACCACCACCACCACCACCACCACCACCACCACCACCACCACCACCACCACCACCACCACCACCACCACCACCACCACCACCACCACCACCACCACCGCCGCCGGCTTGTGGAGCTCAATTGCCTGAGGCTCCCGATCTCGCCTTACGCGGCCAACTTCGGTCGAACGACCGGGTGCGCTGCGATGGGGTTCACGATTGCTTTCGCTTCGTGGTTTCCGGAGTTGTGAACATCAGATGAGCGTTGCTGAAATTTCGGTTCCACCGGTCTGCTGACGATACACTGCGCTCCCCAACAATGGATAGTCCAGAAGCATCCACATCATCGAGTTCTTCAGTCACCTGGCAACTTGACCTGCCGGAGTCGAGAATCCCTCGATCTGCCAGCTCTTGCTTTTTCGGAAGCTGGGAGAGTATCGGTCACTAGCCTTTCCCAGTTGTTGCTATGGAGAGGCACGGCCCCGTTGACTGGATCAGCAACAGCACCCTCACGACCGGCCGGAGCCTAATTCGACCACCGGAGTCCCTTTGTAATTGGCGAGGGGATGTGCACCATTGCTTCAGGCACCTCAAGTAGGAAGGACTTGCAACTTACCGGAACTTTCGTGTGCTTTCAGGAGCAGAGAGGCTTGTCCATGCTTTGGCGGCTTTTTCAAGGCAACTCCAGAGTAGCGGTGATGTGGTTTTGGACTCTGCAAAGGGAGATCACTTCCCAACGTGCATAGGCGCATACCTGGTACAATCTGATGCCGTCTACGCTTATGCAACTAAATACCGATGTGCATACGTTCGCAAGTGCGTCGTCATCCCATAGGCATCAGGACCACTGTCTACCGTTTGCGAAAGCTTGTGTCTTGCAAAGGCGAGGCATAGCATGCCGGCCCATCTCTCGGTGCGGAGTTGGTGAGTGTCCGGCAGCAGCATGCTTCTTGCGTTAGTCATGTGTGACATCTTCAAGGGATCCAGACTAGCACTCTGAGGTGGAGCCCATGGCCGTGAGCCAACTTAGAACCCCGCTTGGCGCAGGCAGGATTTCATGATTCGATAGAAGCCTTAGATGCGAAGGTCGAGGTCAGTTGACAACCGAAAAGCAGCTCATGTGGCAGGGCTTGCAGACGGCGTTTGCAAGATTTGTTTTTTCAGATTGTCTTTCCTGCGTCTACGGTGACGCCAGGTCTGCCAGGTCCTTTGGCTGGTCGCGTGCTTAGTGACTCTTTCTCAGGTATCTTTCTTCATGGCCCCGTTTCAGGCTGAAGAGGAAGACCTGTGTGCATCGACCATGTCAAGATCGAGCCATGTTTTGCAGTTCGTTTCCACACAATTTCTTCATGTTGTGCGAAAGCACAGCCGTCACCGGCAGCCGTGTGCTGTCGAGAGCGTATGAGCTTCAAGAAGTTGTCACCCCTCTGGGGACTCTAGGGCTCAGTTCGCCTTGATTCTCGGCTTACGGTATCCTTCCTGCGAAGTCCAACCCCAAGTTCTGCTCTGCTACACTTCCCTTTGCATACTGTGTCTTTTTGCAAATCCTTCTTTTGCAAACTTAAGCTGCTGAGGTTTGGCGAGAGGTGAGGCGTTGACGGGCAGGCAGCGCGGAAATTTGACGGGAGAAAGAGCGAGAATAGAAGAGACAGAAAGAGATTGCGTCTGGCAGCCCTTGGGAGATGCTCGCTCCTGCACCTGCAAGCCAAACACGGGAATTCACTCTGTGGAACCCCAAAGCCTCTCTTCTCATGAACGTATGAGAAAAAGGCCCGCCTAGGCGCGGATCCGTTCGCGAGGACCTGACCCCTCTGGAAGAAAGAAAGCAAGGAAGGAAGGAAGGCTTGGAGAGACAGAGACAGAGAGGAGATTAGATTCGGTCCTTCAGGTTGTTTCAAGAACCGCGGGCGCCAATCCATCTTCCTTCGAACACCGAAGATTGTCGTACAGCCAAGCACATGCCTCAATGTGATGGATGGGGCAGCGCGGACTCGCCAGGCCACGAGGTCTGCCTGTGACCCGAGCCCTAAGCAAAGCAAAGAGAGAGAGCGAATCTGCGCCGAAGCCTTTTTGCCTAGTTGCTTCCCCATAATCTATGAAAGAGAGAGAGAGAGAGAGAGAGAGAGAGAGAGAGAGAGAGAGAGAGAGAGAGGGAGTGCTGGAGAATGCGCATCGCAACATTTTCAGTCCCTGCGGGATGCAGAAGTCAGAAGCGGCCAGCCGTCCCTGCATCAGTCAATAGGGCATATGCATGAACAGAAGTAATTAGCAGACACGTCGGCACGCACTTCCGAATACTTTTCTGTTTGTTGTCAGTGCTTCCCGATCTTCCTCGCCTCGTGGGGGACCTGGATACTGGGTCTCAATCGGTAAGCAGCCGGTGACACAGCTTGAAGTAAACTCAAGCTTTCTGCTCGAAGCCTGCCCCCCGCTCCCCCTCACCTAACAGAGCGGCTTCGGCTTTGGAGTTCCTCGAGTTTCGTCGGGAATTCGTGGGTTTTGATTCGGGATGCGCTGAGAACTGCAATCGGCGAGTCGGCTGTTTCTATCTCTGGTTTCGATGGAGATGACGGTTTCAGCAAAGCAAGTTCCTAGTGCAACTCCCTGCCCATACATCGCTTTCAGACGGAACAGCTTCAAGCCTCAATCTGCACAGACTGCAAAGGAGACGCTAGCTTTGTTAAATCGCGCATAGTGAGAGTGGGTCTACAGTGATGGTTGTAGTGGAGGTTGCAGCAGTAGCTTGTACTAGTGGCAGTAGTAGTAGCAGTAGCAGCAGCTGTAGATGTAGCTGTGGCAGTAGTGGTAGCAGGAGCAAGTAGTAGGAGTGGGAGAAGGAGTAGGAGTAGGAGCAGGACCAGGAGTAGGAGTAGGAGGAGCAGGAGGAGGAGGAGTAGTAGTCGTAGTGGTAGCGGCAGCGGTAGGGGCATCGGTGGCAGTAGCGGCAGTGGTAGTGGTAGTGGTAGTGATAGTGATGTTGGTTGTGGTAGTCGTGATGGTAGTGGTGGTGTTGCTGGTGGTAGTGGTAGTGGTAGTGGTAGTAGTAGTAGTAGTAGTAGTAGTAGTAGTAGTAGTAGTAGTAGTAGTAGTAGTAGTAGTAGTAGTAGTAGTAGTAGTAGTAGTAGTAGTACTAGTAGTAGTAGCAGTAGTAGTAGTAGTAGTAGTCGTAGCAGTAGTAGTAGTAGTAGTAGCAGTAGTAGCAGTAGTAGCAGTACCTAGGGAACCCGGGGAGGAGAATTTCTCAGATCATTTGAATATTTCCAGAAAATCTGCTTGAAGTTAGAATCCTCTGAAATTCCCAGGAATTGGTGTAAATGGCAAAAACCCATCGAAATCTCTCTCGCTGACTGAAACTCGTCTGAAAGCTCGAACTCGTGGGTCGATCAGTTCTTTCGACTGCTTAGTACAGCTCGTGATCCCAAACCGTTCGGCAATGGATCAAGTAACGCCTGAGCGCACTTGGCTGTACAGCCCTTGTGCCGCAACGGCGGGTGATCCTCGCGATCCTTCCGACAAAATCTTCGTCTTGCGGGCATGACTCACAAACGGGATTGAGAGCATGCTTGCCCTGCTGCGAGCACACGCTTAGCGTATGGAACGTATGGAACAACATGTGTGCTTTCGGATACAAAGGAAAGCGTGTGAAGCCCGAACATCCGTAGTTGTAGGCCAGCTTGACATACGCACGAAGGAAGTATAAGCCTCGCTGGCCAATCCTCCCAGCCTGGTCCGGTGGCAGCCACATCTGAGACGTGTACAACTCGCTTAGCGCCGCGTTCATAGCCTTGGAAGCACCAGCCTCAGAAGTCTGAAACTCCCTATTTGGTCATATAAGAAGATTCAATTGTACTATTCTATGAAGAAAACCCTTCAGGCTAAACCGCTCTACGTTAGGCGAGCACAGCGACAATGAGCTGAAAGTTCTCATCCTCGGACCCGAGAATATTGTTCTTGTCACACCAGCTTTCGATGAAACGCATGAGGTTCGTCGTGACTGTTCCCCGGTTCCAATGACCATCTGGCACATCCAGCATGGACTGTCCACAGCCCACAGTATCAGGCGAAAATTTCTGCAGGTAGGTCTGTTCGCCAATGGCCTGAAATCGGAACAGCCCAGATTATCTAGCGGGTTGGCGTGGTAATGTAGGAATCCGGACTAACATGTTTTCGCAGAGGCCGGTTCTCGAACAACAGGAAGATTATTGAAAACCTGGGTTGTTATTATTATCTGAGGTACCTTGCAGAACTCTTTGAACTCCAGGAACATGCTCGAAAACCTCACATCCACATTCGAGCCGTCGAAGTACTGGACGAGAGATACCATAGCTGAAGCCGCGAAAGCTTTTCCTTGTCCGAGCTGTACATTGTGCCACATGTCAATCTTGTGAAAGAACGGCTTGTTGTCTGGGTCATGAAGCAGCAGTCTTGTGAATGCAGCTTCCGAAGCCCATGGCATGCTTAAGACTGGCATCGTTTGAAGAAACCTTGCATCGTCACTCCTGGTCGAGGCATATTCAGAATATTGCAAGATTACAACGACGAGCATTTCATCTATACCATATACAGGAAAAAACATGACTGATTAACTTAAGTCTGTACAGAGCACACATCTTCATACGGAAAAGCTGGTGCACCAGCCATGCACCAATGGCAGATGCACTTGTTGGGCGCCTTGGAGGAGGCACGCTTTGGGGCATTCCGATATGATCGCGTCAAATTAGCCACCTGCACTAGGTAGCTCCAATCGCCTTTGTTGCCAATCGGGCACAACCAAAGATGCCCCTGCGAAAGCTCAATACCATTGTCGCCGAGGTCTTGCATATCCAAACAAATATGTTCGATCAGATCGCTCAGAACTTCAGGCTTGTCAGCATAGCTCGAACCCATCAGCAAGCCAGCCAAGAACCGGGTCACGAAAGAGTGCCCCTTAAAGTTCGGCTGCAGCTCAAGCTCTTCAAGCCGAGCCTTGATGACGGCAGGATCGTTCTTTCGACCCACTCCTTTGCCGCAGCATGGCTGCCATTGGATAATAAAGACCGGTTTCTTCTTCAGGGTTCGGCCTTCGTCTGCATGGAAGTAGAAAGGTAGTGTTTGGGACAGAACCAAGCGGCCCTGCCTGGCCCTCTCAAACACCTGATGTGAGGGATTGATTGCTTCGTAGCGCTTCCAGAAGTGTTCCAGGGCTGGTGCAGCTTCCGCCAAAGTAGGTTTCCCAAGAACCAACTCAAGCTTTGATTTCTCGTCCATAAATTTCAAGTAGTCTGATGGTCGAATCCATTCGACTTGCTGTCCCCCACAGCTGCTCTTGCTGATACGGACCTTCAGCCCCAGCTCATGCTTGAAGACAGTGCGGTAAGCGTCCCGGGCCTCGGTTGTAGGGCTATTTGGTTTGTTAGTTGATCTCTCTAGGGTTTTCGATTGCACCTATAACACAATTATATGTAATATGTTTTGCAGGTGAAAAGCCGAATGTTCGGGGCGAGCTTTCGCTAATCTCTCAACAACGGGGTCTGCAGTCGAAATCCCTCTTGATCGATCTCTTGCGACAACCGCCTTTGCAGTATCCAACACTCGTCTGCACGGCACCTTCAGGGATGCCCGAGTGAGCATGTATGGGAGGTGTGGTCACAATAAGCTTCTAACCCAAACCGAATTCCCGACGGCTTGAGGCATATAAGATCTTAAGATGAGTTATATGAAGAGATATTTCATCAAAGGCTGGCCCCGTGTCCGATTTGATCAGCGAGATTGCGCCCGATGCTGCCTGGACCTGGCATAGTGAGGTGAACGGGATTCCAGTATAGATTGGGAAATCAGGCAGCTGGTTTGTGGACTCATGCAAGAGTTCTAAGACTACTTATTTTTGGCAGCGTCGCACATGACCAGTCACGGTTGGCACGGAACTGAAGCAGACTGTCATGTGCACGGCAGAAAAGACTGCCACCCCCAGCAAAGTCATCGCTTTGCAAATCTGCTTTAAGCAGACCTGTCAAAATTCACCCAAGCATCTTGGCCTTCACTCGCTTCTTAGGGGCGGGCGCTGCTTTTGCAGCACGCTTTTTGGGCTTGGGGGCAGGTGCTTCGGTCTCTGTCGGCTTGTCTGTAGTAGCCTTCGACTTCTTCTTCTTAGGATTCTTGCCACGAGTTGTAGCTGCGGGCGCTGGCGGGGCTTTGCTATCGCCCTTGTTGAGCTTCTTGTGCTCGGATAGATAGACCCTTAGCATTTCTAAATCAGCTGAATGGATAGGATTCATCAATTGCAGCACCGATTGGCGACTGTAAGCTTCGCACTTGAAGCTGTTCTCTTTCGCAGTCAGCTTGGCACACCTTGTGCGTACCAAATGTGAGCCTGTAAAGCATCCGAGGTCTTTATGATATCCAAGATACGGTGCACGTGCTTTGGCTTTCGTGGCGGCGATCTTCTCCAGCAGCCTGGAATGTATGCTGTGGAAGGGCTGCTAGAGGGGTGGGGAGCGGAACTTCATTGGGGATGAACAAGTCAAGCTGCTGATCTTTTGGGCAGTCATCCATCTCCGCAGAAAGCAAATGATCAGCCATTTCTTCATTGCATTCATCCAACGATTTGTTGATATCAACCAACTGATCTCGGAACCTGACACAGCCCAACATGCCAGCAAGGTTTCAGCCACTGACGTGAACCCTTGCATGCATATCTACAGCCATGCTACTTTTCCACCCGCTCGACCGTGGGGCCGTCGAGCTGGGTCAACCAAGACGCCAGTGTTGCATGTTTGGCACTAATCGCAGCCATAAACTTCTTCACATCGTCCACAACCTGCAACACATTGGGATTTATGTAGAGCTACAACCCAAGCTTTGTGCACCCCACCTCTTGATTGGTTTCTTTGTAGCTCCCAACAGGCCCACGGCAATTAGCAGCTCGGAAAGACAAGGGTACCACGGAGTCAGATTTCATATCCTCCATGGCTTTGTCAGCAGCCTCCTCCTTGGATTACAACAGCGAAACCCACATGCACACACACACACACATGAAGGACGTAGCATAAGGGGTTTGCATGGCAAGTGTGATGATAAAGCTTCAGCAAAGCCACATCCAGAGCCTCCTCTTGTTGAAGCTGTTCCAGCTCGCTTTGGCGCAAGGTCTGCGTATCAGAAATCTCAACGAAGTACTCTTCAACGTCCGGGTCATATTTCCAAGGCCTGCATATGCATGCTGTGTGCATGCATACAGAGTCCACACAACAGCTCGTGCAATCCCCCCACTCCGTGATGCTTTGCACCTCACGAGCAGCTTTGGAAAGCGGCGGCAGTACGAGATTATCTTCTGAATCAGCTGCCTCAGCTGCTATAGCATGAGATATACCATTGCCGTTGGACACGAAAGAAGGAAGTGTGGTCTTGACTAATGGAATGACCAGGAGCCTCGAGTATTTCATTTCCACCCGGAGTTTCTGCTCCGTGCACCAGGCCCCCTTGATCTCCTGCGTGGTTTCCTTCGAACGTATCGTGACTCTGGTCACGAATCTTGCCTGCATGGGAGCAGCAACAAGTACACTTTTGCACAGGGCGGAGTATTTACAGATAGATTAATATCGCATTCCCCCTCACCTTGACCTTCTTCCGAGTCTCAGCATCACTCTGGACGCCGATGTCTTTGATAGCTTCCAGTAAGCACAATCGAAGATTCTCCCTGGAATCTAAGTTTTTCCACTGGTCTGCAATCCAAGATGGCATGGCGCATCTCCTGGTCTTCGGCTTGGTCTCGCACATCCGACGGAGGCGGGCATCCAGGGCTTTGTCGCTGAGCTCCTGCATAGATATATGGGTCTATCATATATGCATACAGACCTGACACCTGGAGATAAATGAAAGAGAGTGAGGAAGAGAGAGCGAGAGAGTCGATGCATGTGTGTGTGTGCGCATGAGGAGATCGGGAGAAAGGGGTGGAGAGAGACATCAAGAGAAATATATGATATAAGAGAATGATTGCATGAATAAGGAACCGGGATGACTCAGGAAAATGAAATGTAACGAGGGGTAGAGAGAGAGGTGGAGAATGATATATACATATATATGTAAATTATATAGTAGATGTGTTTGCATTGCATGTTCACATGCACGGGCATGCTTGTGCATGTCAGTACCTGTGTACACTTGCTGTGTGTTTGAGTGCATAATCCATATTATGTATGCGTGGGCGGGTGAGTTGGGAGAGGCGAGAGGCAGAGGGTGGGTGATGCTCTGCACATGTTGAACTTCGGTAGACTGCAGATGATAACATACATTCTATTCTGCACACATGTAGTGTAAGACACAGACATGCAGCCATCATAGTATATATGCATGCGTGCATATACAGTATAAATAATATACATGTATTGCAGGATGGCATTCTATGGATGTGTGGGCCCGTGCAACAATCAGACCTTTTCTTTATTCTCACCCCTATAGATTAATTAATTACCTGTTCAGCTGAAAACAACCCCGACACACACTAGTCCTTGTCCGATGCATCGTACTTCATCTCAATCTTGTCGTGGTCTTGACTCTTGAGGAGTTTCTCCACTTCAGCCGTTGTACAATCAGCTGGAGGCGAGGATGTACGTGATGCAACGGTTGTGGGCGGGGTTCGCACGGAACTTGCCGTCGTCGAGGGGCTTGGGGTCACTGGTGCTGTCGCCGTCGTCACGCTTGGTGGTTGCGAGGGCTGGCGTTTGTTTGGGGTTGTAAGGCCTGGCACCCCCGGATTTCGCAAAGATAGCTTCAGGGCTTCATTCTCAGCTTGCAGCCTACGTAGCAGTGCGTCGCGAGGGTCTTCGGGATCATCGGCCTGGTTGGACCAGAATTGAGTTGTTTACTTGATGCATGCATACGAAACAACACGATCAAGCCTGCTCACCGCTCTCCACCGCCAAAGCTTCCTGCGGGCGGGGAGCACATCGGCTTCGAAAGGGAACCGGGCTTTGATTTGGGATATTATACTTGCACTGTCACTGTGCCTGGGGCTGCGCAAGTCCGACGGGTTGGGCCATCTGTGGAGCAACCTCTTCCTTCGATGCAGCCTGCCAAAACAAACGCATGTGTATAGCAGCACCATAGATTTAAATAAGATGAACAGAATGTGCTCCTGGGCTTGCTGCAGCATGGCCAGAGCTTTTTCAGTCTCCTAAGTTCGGATGGATGTATATAATTCATGAGCCAAGTCGTCCCACTGTATTACAGCTGGGTATCTCGGATCTGTTGTTGCAGATGATCAGCATCCATATCTGGAGCTCTTTGCTCGAGATCCTGTTCCGGCTCCACCTTAACCCCTCCGGCAGTCTTCATGACATAGCTAGCACCACGACACAGACCTGGAGTACTCCATGCCCTGGACTGCAGGGGTTTCGGCGCTGCGTCGGCCATGCTGTCGGTGTGCCCTACAAGAACTCTGATTCGATGGGCACCAAAACTGCGCTTAAGTAGCCGGCGGGTATCTTTTAAGGGTATTTAGGAGCGGGTTTTGTGAAGGTATGGGTTCGGGTGTTTTCGGAATTACTTCGGGAAGATCTGGAATCCCCGTTACGCTTTCTCCCCGGCTTATTTCGGAGTTATCCTGGGGAATTTCGGAGTCGTTACGCTTTACGGGTGTTTTTGGAATTGCATTTGCAATTACGGGTTCCGGGTTTTCTTGGAATTGTTTCGGGACTTCCTGGAGTGATTACGGCTTTTTTCGGAGTCAGCCCCACCGACTCTATGGCACTGTACGGAACTTGCCTGGAAGGGCCCCAAACCCCTTGAAAAGCTCTGCGCACTGCTGTTTCTTAGGCATGAACAGACCCGAATATAAAATATTAATCATGCAATATTGTACCATTTCACAACCATACACTATACAAGCCTTACAAGCTTTGGGGGAAAACCGCCTTCCAGGCTTCGGGGCAGTTCAAGGCTTTGCCGCCCCGGACATAATGGCACACCTCTGCTAAACCTGCACGAGACCAATGGCCCAGCGGGTCATCAAAATTCATCTCCGAAAACAACCCTTTGGCATCTAGCTGACCCTCTTCCTCAGAAGACATCACTGGCATGCCCTCTCCCGCAGTCAGGAGCTGTGGCGCCAGCAGCAAAAGCTGAAGAGCAAAGGGCACTGGATATGTCCTTGCGTGGGTCACAAAGGAGGCAGCTTGTCGTTGTTGGGCAGATTATATGCAGGAATTCAGCAAAGTGGCTCAGTCTGTTTGATCGCTGGTGTCCCCACGTAACGATGGTTTCCACTCTCATCGGTGTAATGGATTGATGTAGGACGACGGCAGGTTGAAGAGAGTGCCTCCTTATCCTCATTCCGAAGCTTACCATGGTCTAGTTTGATGCACCACGGATTGTTGCAGAATGCCATACTTCGCTTTGGGCTCGGAGACAAGTACTTCATCATCCACCAGTGAACTTCGTAAACCTGGGTCTTGCTTGAGGGCTTCGAGAACTGAACTTCTCTTGCGACTATACCGATAGACATCTATTTAGATAGTATACTGCCATGCAATAATAAGTAGCATGCAAAGACCTGTGGAATCTCAAGAATTCCATTGCAGGATGCCACACGAATGCCGAGGAGGCCGGCTGCTCCACCAAGAAGGTTCCGCCCCGACACACAATGAGGATGCTGAGTAAAGCCACCCTCAGAATACAATGAGTGCATGCATGTCACTGCACAGAACGGAACGGGAGAGACTGAAGAAAGCTAGAGAGAGAGAGAGAGAGAGAGAGAGAGAGAGAGAGAGAGAGAGAGAGAGAGAGAGAGAGAGAGAGAGAGAGAGAGAGAGAGAGAGAGAGAGAGGAGAGAGGAGAGAGAGACAGAGAGAGAGGAGAGAGAGACAGAGAGAGAGGAGAGAGAGACAGAGAGAGACAGAGAGAGACAGAGAGAGAGAGAGAGAGAGAGAGAGAGAGAGAGAGAGAGAGAGAGAGAGAGAGAGAGAGAGAGAGAGGGAGAGAGGGAGAGAGAGACCATCAACCACTGTAATAATTAAGACAGCAAGCCCGCCTGAATTCTCTCATCCAAGAAAGCAACTCTAGATAGGTGCAACCCGAGACCCCCGAAACTCTGCAATACCATTCCAGCATGGTCGTGCTCCGAACCCTATAATAGCCAGCAATCACTATAGCTATATCACAGGAAACCACAAGCTAGAAAGACGATTTCCCTGTTATGAACCTCAAAACTCACAGAACCATTCTGTTAAGTTTATATACTATATACAGAGAACCCGAAGTCGCGAAACGCCCGAAGCCAGAGAAGAATCCGAAAGTCTTCCGCCGGCGGAGGGAGGGATCGGCTGTCATAGTAATTTTCGGTTTGAGGATTTAGGGCAGTAGAAATATTATACTATATAGCTGCATGGGGTTAAACTACTCTATATTTTATGTGGCCCTTTATAACTGATATTCAGGGAGTGAGGGGCTTTAAGATTTGCGCTTGCAAGGTGTCCAATTCTCTCCTTTTTTTGCTCGCTCTCCCCCTCCCTCTCTCCCTCCCTCCCTCTGTCTATCTCTCTCTCTCTCTCTCTCTCTCTCTCTCTCTCTCTCTCCATATCTCTCTCTCTCTCTCTCGCTCTCCCTCTTTCCCTCTCTATCTCTCTCCCTCTCTCTCTCCCTCCCTGCCCCTTGCCCTCCCCTTCCCTCTCCACCCTTTCCCCGTCTCCCTCCCCTCCCGCTCCTATTTTGTGTCGACTACTGCACCACTGCTGTTGAACCCGAATTGCAAACTAGACTCCGCTCCAATAGAGTGTTGCCCATTTGCACATAGGCATATCGTTCATTGCCGTATGGGGTCAAAGGGCTCCTGCCGTTGGTTGCCATATTGATGCTCGTAAAAGATGTACAAACCATTGCCAGGACCACGAAGAACCGACCGGGGTCGGCATGTAGTATCATCCACACACATAGCCTGAAGGGCGGCGGAGGCTTGTTACCCTGTGGCCCATGAAGACGATCAGTCTGAACTAGTGTAGCCGGGCAACGAGAACCCTGCACAGGTGGTCATGTCCATGGGCTGCTCATCGTCACACAGGTGTGCCAGATGCTTGGCATACTTTAGATCGACGGAAGCAGTAGAAATATTAGCATACCTGAACAATCTCGAACAGTTCCCTGCTCCGGCAAAGAACTCGAGGAACTGGAAGGCCTGGCCAGTGCACACGGAACGCTCATTCTATATTGCGAATATGATATTATGGGTCAGCCTTGTGGGGCACTTTGCCGCAATCTGTGAAGGCCACCAAGATCACCAGCAGCACAAATGCCTCAGGTGAGATGCGAAGCAGGGCCCCCATGATAAGAACAATGGTGTCTTATGTGTTGCCTGAATTCGATGCTTAGACGGGATACTTTGGGCGCCCCCAAGCGTGACAGCCGCCATACCAGCATGTCTACATCCCGCTCAGAAAGCATCTTGCACAAGCTGCAGGCACTATCGAACAAGGGGCCGAGTGTTTTTGGCGAGGCACCTGTTGTTATATCCGAGCCGCACAAGTCATCGTCGTATCGAGTGCACTCATGAAAGCGCTACCACGTGGCAGGAACTGAAACCTATCCCCGGACCTAAACCCTTAACCGAGGCGGGACCACGACGACCAGTATATCGACCAGACCGTGCAGCGAGAGCCACACCACGAAGACGGCTCTTGCAGAGCCTGATGACCTGGCGGCATTTTGAGAAAGTAGCTTGATAACTGCAGTACATGTATATGCAGCTCATGAATACATGAGAGATGGCTTCGACACGTCTTTTTGGCACCCCTTGCAATGGTCTCAGCTTGTGGCTGCTGGGCAGCCGTGCTAGCACTGCAACACTACCACCCGTTTCGTAAGACGAGTGCCTGTGCAGGACCCCTAACCCTAATTGGTTTCTGTAGAGTATCTACAGAAGCATCTAAGACACCAGATCGAAAAGGTTCCGTGGGCCCGTTTTGTTGTGCAATTAAACCAATATCGTTCAATTCGATCGTTACATAGGGCACTTACCGGAATCCAGTCGAGTCGAGGTGATGCAAGAGATCGACACAGAGATCATCCTGAGCTTGGCTTGAAGCTACTCCAAGCCTCTGCCATCGATGCCTTCAGCATCTCAACAAAGGCCCCGCCAGCCTCTGTGCCGAGGAAATCATTATCCTCCTGCAACTTCTCAGCCTGAGTTCACGTGAGATATCATGCAAGGCTTCATTCCGACAATCAAGAGACACATCATGCAAGACAGTGAATCAGGCTTCGACCACCCAAATCGCAAGCTGCAAGTGCGTTGCAATGGTAGACGTGGGGCACGAGGCTTTGGAAAAGTAAGCAACCTCCGTGGCCTTCTCACCCTCCCTCTTAAGCTTCACACCACATGCTGGCCGGTTCCAGTACGTGTTGAGAGTGACCACTTTATCGAACTTGCGCTTGTGCAGATCCAAGCCAGTCGCTTCATACGGCATGTTACCGAACTGCTTGAGGTAGCGGGATAGGATGGCAACCTTGCTCTTGTCAGGCCGTGCGGCTGCTGCGGATGCAGCATCCACAGCATCGGCAGGACGGGGCTTGTCGCCCCCTTTGCCCCGACCCTTTCCTCCACCCCGGCCCCTTCCCCGACCCTTGCTAGCAGGGGCACTGGGCTCGGTGGGGGCAGTGGGCTCCATTTCAGCAGCCTTTCTCTTCGATGGCTTCGGATTCGAGGAACTCTTGGGGCTGGCTTTGGGCTTCGGGGCACTCTTCATCGGGCAGCTCTTGGCCTTCGGGGTGCGCTTTGGCGTGGCTTTGGGGCTGGCTTTGGGCTTCGCGTGGCTCTTCGCTTTGGCTTTGGCTTTGCTGGTGGGCTCGGGGACAATCCTTTCGGGCTCGGGAGCCTCAGGACCAGCCTCTTCGGTCACCTTGGTTCTCTTGGTTCGTTTGGCCTTCTTCAACATTTTCATGCGACGGGAGCTCTTGCGCTTCAGCTTCTTGTTCGGCTTGTCCTGAGATATACATGACCCAATGTTCGATGAACATAAGAGACTGATCACGGCTATCGTGTGAAGGTGGCACAAATATGCGACAAGAATCTGTGGTGCCCTTCTTCTTATTCGCCTTGGCCTCCTTGCGAGAGGCGACCATCAAGTGTTGATCTCGTCGTGACACACCATCCCAACAACTCACATCCGGAAGAGCCTCATGTTGCCAAGCAGGGGGGGTGAGATGGCTCACTACTACATCCGAAGCACGTGAACCACTGCGACGAACTCTAATCTACCACCTCACCCGACCTAAATTGTGGCAAGCAGCTGCCAGGAGCGGATCAGTCTCCTTCGCTGGAGCCGGCTCGGTTTCAGGCACCACCTGCAAATCGACCTGAGTTTCCGCGGTATCCATAACGGAACCTGTCAAGTTGAGGGCAGCTTCTGGGACTTCTGGGGCTGGATCGTTCGGAGCTGGCGCAGCTTCCAGATCGATAGCAGGAGGCGGGGGCGAGCCCGGCATGGAAGCTTTGGCACGCTGTTCAAGGGCAACTGCGTGCAGTGCCTGCAGTTCCTGAAGTCTTGACTGGAGCCGCTGGGCTTCTGTCTCCACATTCAGGCCTTCGGGGATCTCATCATCATCATCGGAACAGATGTTAATAGGCTCGCCATCGATAGGCTCCTGAAATCATATCAGTTCACTATATGCACAATGCATGTTGTGTTTCACATGCATGAATTCAGCTACTCCTCCACAGCAGCCTCTTCGGAGGCACGAAGCTTCAGCTCATCCAATGCAGCACAAAGCGAAGACATGGAACCCAAGTTCTCATAGGACTCTGTCGCAATCGGGGCAGCTGGAACCTCAACTTCGGGTGGCTCGCAGGCCCTGAACTGCGGGGTCGCAACGGGGCGGCCGATACTCAACGGCTCCTTGTCAGCAATAGGGGCATGCTTGGGGAGCTCCTCCCCAACCAACCTATCGGAATCCTGCAGAAGTTGAGAATCCTCCAAAACAGCATCTTCTGCTATCTCGTCCTCAGACTCACTCTGCTCCTCAGGCTGATCAATGACTTCCTCGGGCGCCGGCTGCGGCACCTCATGGGGAAAAAAGTTGACTGAGATGCTGCGGGCTTTAAAACATGCGAGCGGATATAAGTTCATCATAGAAGCCTCCGGCTCTTCATCCGGAGCGAGTTGGTCCTCGACAGAAATTTCATAGCCGAAGGCAAGGAAAATCTCTGCCATGATTTCGTCCTTAGCCCATGCACGTATGCAGTGTTTGCCACTGCAAACCCCAAATTCGGTGGGATGAACACACAGTGCACGCACACACACACACACACAGACCCAAAGACCTGCAAGCAAGAAACTGTCGGGGGATTGTTCTTGGACAGCAAAGACTTGACTAGAGTCATGAGCTTACGCAGCGTCCAGCAGTCCATGTGCGTGTCCCCGGGCGTCAAGTCCTCACGGTGACAAACCTGAAAGAACAACTCCACCTCACGATAAAGACAGTCGATCGATGGCACGGTGTCGCGACCATTGTCGGCCCAGCGCTTCATCGCCGGGATCAGAACATCCTTGTTCTGCCGGCAATTGTGCACCGAGCGTTCCACGAAATCCGGGGAAGGCTTATCATCTGCTCTGCAAAGCGGATGCGGGATCAACAAATGCATGCCCTTGCGCATCCGGTCGCGGAGCAGCGGGGTCTCCTCCCACTGCTTGTGAAGTCCTTGCCACCAGGACGTTTGATCCACCGGGCCATCTGCTCCGTCCACGACAGGCATGATCACTGCCGTGCAAACCTAGTGCAGCGCTTGCTCACCTGATCCTCGAACGGCTGCAACAATTATACCCTGACACCCTCAATGTCGTCAGCAGCTGCACACATGAACTGAAGGCATCGGAAGTTTAAGCGAGCAAGTGATACCTTCGGTCCCATTCTGCGTCATCCCCACGCATTGGTCGGAACCGTTGGGTCAGGCATCAAGTACAAGAACAAATGTCTCAGACTGGAAGGTTTTACCATGCTGACTGTTCATATTGCTCCATGCTCACTCCTGAATGCAACATGGGACGCTTCGAGCATGCCTGAAGCGAGCGATCGACACTCAAAGCGGCCAACTCGGAACATGTAGCACATCCACGAGACAGTTCTTAGAGTAGCCTGGCCCTTATTTATAGATATCTAGAAATATTGGTTTTATCTAGAAAGTTCCCGTTTTAAGGTTCCGAGGGTAGTAGCAGTAGTAGCAGTAGTAGCAGTAGTAGCAGTAGTAGTAGTTGTAGTAGTAGTACTAGTACTAGTACTAGTACTAGTACTAGTACTAGTACTAGTACTAGTACTAGTACTAGTACTAGTACTAGTACTAGTACTAGTAGTAGAAGTAGAAGTAGAGGTAGTAGTAGTAGTAGTAGTAGTAGTAGTAGTAGTAGTAGTAGTAGTAGTAGTAGTAGTAGTAGTAGTAGTAGTAGTAGTAGTAGTAGTAGTACTGGTAGTAGTCGTCGTCGCAGTACTCGTAGTAGTCGTTGTAGTAGTCGTAGCAGTCGTAGTAGTCGTCGTAGTAGTCGTAGTCGTCGTAGTAGTCGTAGTCGTGGTAGTAGTCGTCGTAGTCGTCGTAGAAGTAGCAGTATAGCAGCAGTAGTAAATGCGAACGGACTGCGATGCCTTGTCATGTTCTAAGGTGTCACTATAAGAGCTGTGAGCAAGACCGTGTAAAGTGCAAGAGAAGGGGGCACGCTACGCGTCCCTCGACTCTAGGGGGCATGCTACGCATCCCTCATCTTTACCTTTCTATGTGACCGCCAACGCAACGTTTGGCTCAAGTCAATGCCCATAGCTAAGTGCTATATGTGTCTTCTATCCTGAGCAATCAGAGCTATCCCGTTGCACAGACGAACCGCCGCCGGCAGTGAGTGCAAAAGGAACGGCCGCCGGTTCTGCCTGCATAGGATTGCACGTGTGGAAGTAAGAGGGAGAGACAGGGTCCAGTCTGTGGAGAGTGCTAGCCAGCCACACCTACATTCATTACAGCTCTGGTGGGGAGAGCAGCAACCAAGTCGAGATCAATCCCCCACGCAGGTTATCAGCCGTACGCGGCTCTGCCTTTCTACAGCAACGACTACTTGATCTACTACGACCACAATGAACTCAGGATCAAGCCAAGATACGACAATGACTTTCGGTGCCGATGTGGCAGCGCCAGCCGTTGGTGAGTCAACAGCTGATGACACAGTGGTGCAATCCGTTGATAGCTCCACGGAAGATGACAAAGGTCAATCTTCTGCGCTTGCCATTGCAAAGGCAGTTCCCAAGGGGAAAGCAAAGAGTCTACCAAGAGCATCTACGCCTTCACGTCCGACATCCACAGGTTCGAGGACGGGCAAGGCTTCAGAACGACGGGCCGAAGCGTCTGGTTTTCAGGCACCTCGGACTACGTCCAGGGCTAAGGACAAAGGAGTCAAGACCTTGGAGAAGAAGTCAAGACCATCATCTTCGAGAAGCTCTTCGGCGCGATCTAGGACTTCGGCTACTCGTGGGCGTGACAAGTCCATGACTTGGAATCGGATGGTTACCAATCAACCACGCGATACTGACGATCTGGACATGACTCTGGATACGATTCCTGCACGTGGTGATGCGTCATCCGTGGCCACGCCTGCAATAGCTGACGGTCCGAATGCCTACCAGGAACTGACGATTTCGCAACAGTTCGAAGCATCGAACCTTGCACAGCAGATGTACTATCGCAGTCAGGTGCAAGAATACGAAGGAATCGTCCAGACCCTGATGGACAAGATCAAGGAGATGCAACAAGAAGATGAAGGATCTGGAATTCGCATTGAGGAATTGGAACGACAACGTGATCATGCATGCTTAGCCATGAGGCACATCAACAATGTCAATCAGGAGATGAAGCGAGACTATGAAACAGCTTTGTTTCGCATGGATGAGCAGAACTCTGCTCAACAACGTCAAGCACATGCCGTTGCCGAGGATTTAGCTCAACAGCTACACGTGTTCCGCACGGAGGCAGCCACCAACTTTGTGCAGTTGGAGGCAAGAGCGCAAGGTGATGGCGAGCTTATGGCACGTGAGTATGAGCGTCTGACTCATGAACTTCATGAACACGCCAGAGAGAACTTGGTCCTCCGGTCAAACACAGCAAGTTCGGAACAAGCCTTACAAGCAATGCAGGAACGATTCCACTTGGTCAAGAACCAGGAGTTGCGGGCTGTGAACGAGATCCAAGGGCTAGCTGGAAACAGCGCAGCCATTGAACAAGAACGATTTCGGCTTCGCGAACGTCTTGGTGAAGAGGAAGAGTACCGCAAAATGGCTGTGAAGAGGATGCAAGAAGCAGAGGAACGACTTCATCAGAATGAAGATCATGCAAGGCGATCATTGCCTACCTTGCACGACGAGCTGAGTGAACTCAGGAAAACGCTCAAAGCACAAGAAGATCTTCAAGCGAGGACACGCAGCGAATTGGAGGCAGCGCGAAACTCCAATCAAGGAGGAGCGACGCGACCTTCGAGCATGCCCATGTCTTCGAGGACTACTGAGTCTGGCTGGGAGCACGTAGGAAAGGAAGTAATGCCTGCATTTTCCGTAGGAGATGAGGTACGATCCCCTGAAATACGGTCCCCAAGTCAAGTTAGTCCAGTCGCCAAAGAGAAGTTCGCATTCTCGGAATCGGACAAGGACAAGAACCTTGTGATGGACGGAATTCCATTCACCGGTGGAAACTTCTTCACTGGCCGCAGTTCAATGCCAATCGTGGCGGATGCAATGCCCGAGCACCACGTGCCAGGTATTAGCAGCCCAGCACTTGCGCGTTCCACGCCTAGTGCAGCCACTTTGTTTGGCATACCAAGCGGATTTCATGGGAAAAGTGATGCGGCAGCTGTGCGTGATCGACAGCTACGCGAACTCTTGGGGGATCGCGGGATGTTGGGATCGAAGTCCACAGCATCGGCCAGCTCCTCAAGACCTGTTGGCATCGATGGTGTCACCGCATCTACTAAGGGCAACGACCTCGTTGGTCCCCCTGTCGCCTATGACGATTCCATCCATGAGGCAAGGAGGCGTCAGATCGAGAAGGAGATCGCGGAGCAGTACGAAGAGAAGATTGCTGATCTGCGAAGTGAAGTACTCAAGGCTCAGAAAGCCGAACAACGTCTCAGAGCTGATCGTGATGAGTGGAGATTATTCGCTGAAACGATTCAGGAAAACAATGGAGACGATGACGGTGATGAAGCTGGCGACGAGAACGGAGAGGAAGAGCATGATGAAGGTACCGGCACGGGGTATGATCCTCCAGATCCGCCTGATGATGATGATGACAAGAAGAAAGGCGGAGGGGGCAAACCCGAATCGGATCCTGGCTCACATGCGCGTGATCCTGATGGAGACGCGGATCCTGAAGTCACAGAGGTGAGAATTTCCAGGAGGGAAGCCGACAAAGTTACTGTTCCTCCATGGCCTACTCTCACTCATCTCAACAACTGGCGATCTGTGTGCACGGCAAATGTCTTAGGGGCATCAGCCGACCCACATCATGAGGACTGGATGTTATGGCTGGCACCAGCGTTCAACCCATTCCCTGATGTCGAAGCATTGAATGATTCAGGACACAAGAAGTTCAAGAGCATAGACGTCAAATTGGGGATTGCCATGGTCGCAATGCTACGTGCCGGTGGTGACAAATCAGCTGACCTGTACCTCGAGGTGAACCGGAAGGCCAACGATTACATCAGCAGGCCTGACGTGAAGATCATCAAAGGACGACAAGTCATCGCGATGATGTACGAAAGTTTTCGAACGCATGATCGTCTTGACATGATCATCACTCTTGAGTATTTGGTGAAGCTCCAGTACCAAGGCGACAACAAGCTTCATACGTTCAAGCAGACGTGGTTGGAAGTTCTGGGACGGATGAGACCAGAGGACATTCCATCCAAAACAGCTCTCCGTGATTGCTTGTACAGCAAGATCAAGGACTCGCCCGCAATGAAAATGGACTTGGGCATGCACTATGAACACCTGCCCTACAATCATGAAGATCGATCGTACGACAACCTGATGAAGATCATTGATCGTACCATCATGCGGAAACGAGAACAGTCAAATCTCACTCAGACTCAAATTGGCTTGCGCCAGATGCTTGAGGGCAAGGATTTGCTTGCTGCACCGGCCAAGGTACCTGAGAAACCTACGCCTAACGCAGCTCCATCCGCAAAGGTCAAGGCTTCGCCGACCAAGCCGGACAAAGCAACACCTGTACTACCTCAAAGCAAAGCGAAGAGTCATGCGAAGACCAAGCCGAAGCCCAAGAAGAAGACGAGGAGTGAGTCAGCGGACAACAGAGGTGACAAAAGCAAGAAGCAAATCCGCTGCAAGTTCCATTTCACAGATGCAGGGTGTCGAAATGGCGATAAGTGTCCATTCAGTCACTCGAAGAAGACTCCAGAACGACCCTTCACGCCGAGGACGAGAACCCCAAGTCCATCTGGAGGAGGAGGAAACAGGATATGCTACTCGTTCAAGAACACAGGCTCGTGCTCAAGAGAGAATTGTCCTTTCAAGCATGAGGCAGCAGCTACCCCAGCTCCGGAACCAAAGGCAAAAGCTAAAGCCAAATCCGAAGCGAAGGCAGCTCCAGCGAAGCCGAATGCCAAGGCCAAGGCACTCCCTGCTGCACCCGCCATCAGATTGTGTCGAAGGTGGAATCCATCAGCTCCGGCTATATGGAAGCGATCTTCAAGACAAGATGAGGAGGAGTCA